GGTTTTCTAATACAACTGGTATTCTGCAAAAAAAAAAAAACTATGTGGTTTATTGGTGTTGAAGTAGAGCAAGAGACTAGTGCACCCCCTCCTTAAAAAAATCCTGGATCCGCCCCTGAGAGTAATAAACAGGTCTTTTTCTCGTTGGAATTGTGAACATATTACTTCAGCTGGAGGCTAAGGCTGTAAAAAATGCGTCTTCACTTCTTTAATTCAGCGGTCATAGCGAACTCGAAAATGGGCTATTCCAGGCAAAGTCTTAGGTTAGCTGTTACTTACAGCCGGTTGCCTTAAGAATAATGGATCTATTTTACGAACCGAAGTGTACACTGCCTTCAAGAAACAACTTTCCGATGCTCGTGTTTATAATTTCACTGACGTATATGCGAAACTCCCGCATACATAGTACTACATCAAGTGTACGTTACAACATTTGTAAGTATAGAAAACGAAACCAAGAACAAAATAAAACAAGAAAATTTAAATTGTAAAAAAATGTGTTTATACAGTATTTGAGGGAAAAGTACAAATTAAAGACACTTTTAGCAATGATTTACATGCATTTAAGTTGTTTGACACGTTTATAATGACAAAATATATTGCTTCATAAATGTGTAAAACAACTTAATGTAAATGTTTAAAAATGTCTTAACATTGTATTTTCCCCCAAGTACTGTAAAAACACTTAATGTTAGAAAAGCGGCAGAGGGTATCTTCAGTGTCAAATACTGTTTTTCAACACTGTTTTAGCGTGAGCCAGTTATTCAGATGAAATCTGAGCGAACTAAGACAGAGCGTCTTCCTTTACTTGCGTTTGTGGATATAATTTCAATTATATAGCTCCTAAATTTCTGTTTAATCCATCTTCCCGCTTAATTCACGTGTTTGCGGAGGTGAATGGACGTGTTTTTCTGCTCCGTGAACTTATAAGTAGGCCAACCAAGTTCAGTTTACCTAGACTGATTTGTTTTTATCCCTTAACTATGCCCTGAAAAGAACGACAAAAAACAAATGTTCATTTGAATTCTGACCATGAACATGAGGAGTTTTCGATCAACTCTGCGCCGAACGAATTGGATTCGAAATTGGATGGTAAGATGGCGCCTCTCGATGATAAACTCGACCGCCGCTTGAGACAGCACAGTGAGCAGATTAATGACTTATCCGTTAAATTATTCGGAGCGTTAAAGAAAGAGCTCGTTGAGCTGAATACTCTCATTTGTGATTTGTGATGCCCCCTCATTTGTATTCGTTCCAATCCAGAGTTAAAAACTTTCTTCTTTCTTGTTACGGAATTCTTAACTTAAATTTTTAGTCTCTGTTTAGTTTTTCGTTACTACATGTATTTTTAATGCATTATTCCGCGAATTTCCTTTCACTTGTTTCTTTGTGACTGGGGAGCCCAGGCTTCATAAGCTTTCTGGTTTCTTCTGGGCTCCCTTGCCAACTTAACATTCTTATATGTATTCTTGCATTGTAATTTACTTTGGCTAAATAAAACTGAACTGAACTGAACTCGACTCACTAAGTATCCATCTTTATACCGGGCATAGCCATGATAAAAGTCTAAACGCAGCTGTAAAAGCTTTATAAGCTTCCTTGAGCTAATTGACCAAGGCCAGACAGCTCTTCTAAAATTCTAAAATTCTAAAATTCATGGCACAAGAAGCCTACTCCGATTGTCTCGCTATCACATTACTAAACGTATCACAAGTAGAACGCCTGTTGTCGTTGCAAAGAGAGCTCCATTACCAGTAATGACTGAGCCGGCGTTACACAAGTTCTCATCACAGCAATTAATATCACAGTCTGAAGGCCCGAGATGTACTTTACAAACGGGATTTGCTTCCTTCTTGCAGTAGCTTTTCGGTCCACATGACTTTGAATAGAGGTTAAAACCGCCCTCCTTTGTCGAGTAATGAACCTTGTAGCAAACTGAGTTCTTATAAAAGCAGTCTTTGGTGGATGAACCATCCTCGCAGTCTTCCCATGTCTTTGTACTTGAGCAATAGTGGCATTTTAAAGCAAAATCTGAAAAAACATATTTAAAAATAAATAAATAAGCGTAAAGTAGGAGAAGTGATTTTCCGTCTTGACTCTTTATCACGGGAAGAGAATTATACCACTGCTTCGTGTCCCCAGTCAGGTAGGCGTAAAGACACTGAAAAGACACACACTGAAGACACAACACCGACTGAATTTTCTATGACAATATCAATCAATAACTATTGTTTTTGTTTTTTTTTTCTTCGTATTTTTATAATCAAAATAATATCAGGGAGGAGAAAATGGGGGGTCTGCCGTGAGACTGAATTTGGAATTTCTCTTTTTATTTTTTTCATCAGGTATTTGCAGATTAGTAAGACTGGGGTTTATAGGTGGAAATGACTTCAATCAGCCAAGCTTTTCACGCATGAACTGCATGACCAGAAATTGCTGCAGTCCCTGAGCTGAAATGTTTCTGAGTTATGTTCAAGACAGACAAGACTGAGTATAACAA